TGCAGAGTTTAATGGAAATCTGTAGCATTTCCCATTCCTTTTTAATTCATCAAATGTAGAAAAATCTACTGTTTTTAAGTGGCCAGGTATACCCAATCTTCAAGAAACTACCACCAGGCCAGCAAATCTGTCCTCCTCTAACTGACATACCATCTCATAGACACCCTTCAGTCTAGCACATTCCCCACACAGACCCTGGCACACAGTTTTGGAGCCTCATCCCTGTTCAGCCTGTTTTGGACACTGGCCTATCTTTTCTTCCTTTTCAGCTGCATGAACCCACTAGCTGACTTAACTTCCTCATTCCCACTTATGCACCTCAAACATTTACCCCTTTCCCTGATGTACATTAAATCAGTATGGAATTGGTGATTATATTTAAAGTCCTTGCTGTTCTACAATTATAATGGCAGATCCTAAAAACAATGCCCCTGGAAGGGTTCCCTACCAATACCCAGCACTGGCCCCCTCCATCCAGGTCAAGGCACATCTCTGTCTTGTGCCATCAAGATCAGCAATCCTCAGCATGCTTACCTGACAGTCCGACTGACCAAGGTGATCCTCCAGTCTCTCACACCAAATCCTTCAAGTGCCAGGCCACTCGGTGTCTTTTGCGTTTGTTGGTTCCTCACGTCTGGCCAGACTATTGTGGTCTCTTAAGCCCCGTTCATCCACGTGACTTGGGGTTTTCAGATTCTGGTAGCCAGCAGCTATAGAAAAATAAAAGTGGGAGAACAAGGGGAACATCAGGGTTAAACACTGCAATGTATTTATCCTGACACTACTTTTATCTTTAAATTAAGGTGATTCCTAATCAAATCTAAGGGCTTTTTTGCAGCCTATCACGGTAATTTTCAACCTAGGGGTGGTCTTTCATCCCAGAGGATATGTAGCAGTCTGTTGACATTTTTAGGTTGTTGCAACTAAGGGGATGCTACTGGCATCTAGTGGGTAGAGGCTAGGGATACTGCTGAATATCCTGCAATACACAGGATAGTCACCATAGCAAAGCGGTACCCAGACCCAAATGTTCCCAGTGCGCAGGCTGAGAAAACATGATCTTAGCTGGGTATGCTTATTGAGTCTCGCACCCAGCTCCCTTTTCTAGGCACTCCCTGCTCTCCTGGACTTTCTCCCTTTTTCTTTCCTAGTGTTCTAGCTGTTCTTCTCTCACCAAAACTACTACTTCTCTGTAGAGTTTTTATCTGACCTAGTGATCTCATATCTTAACAAGTTTGACGAATTTATGCTCTATATCTTTCTTCTAAACTTTAGACCCTGCTTCCCAAATAATGAGTGGTGAAAAAAATCTCCATCAGTGCCCATCCTTCCTGCAATTCTGCCATGTCTCAAATCAGACTGGCATTATCTCCTCACCAGCCCCTCCCTGGCTCCTCCTGACTTTGCTGTCCTTCCCCCAGTGTCCTGTAATCCAGGGGCCACTCTTTGGCTCCTCCACCCTTTGTGTCCTTCCAGCACAGGCACTGCCAGAGGGTCCTTTGGGACACCTCTTAAGTCCCTTTCTTCAGCCTTTGGAGTCCTTCAATTTGTCGGGGGTCTTTCTTTTAAAGGCCTTAGGCAGCCTCACCCTCCTCTGAGCATAATCCCTTTTGTTTCCTTAATTGGGACCATCCTCCTCCATTGTATCTACCCTGCATTAAAACTTGCCTCAAATCCCCACTTGCAGGACAAAACTTTCATTGTCCTTTCCGTTTTCTACCAAAAGAACCTCAGAAGCCCACACTTGGATGCTCCAGGGTATCTTTGTAAGATCTTACTTAATTTTTCCTGCATTCTCTCCTACTGCTGGCCCAAGAGCAAAGGTGGCCTGTTCCACTTACCCGTACCTCAGGTTTCTTACCTCTGGACCCTCCCCGCCCCCAACAGGTAAATGCCCCGACCCCTCTCTTCATAGCTAAGACTTCTATCCTTCCATGGAGACCCATCAGAAACACCAGTTTTCTCCAGGTCTGTCCAAGTCCCTCCAATTGGAGGTCTTGGCTTTTGTCTTTACGCTGCCCTGCCCCTTAGGCTGAGGGAGCCCAAGCGTTACCCCGCCAATGCATATGCTCCCATCGCAAAGAAAGATTGAATACTAGAACGTGAAACCAAAGGGTCCCGCAGGTTCTTAAGAATGTCGAAGAATAACCTTGAACCCATTTCTCAGTGTTACTCAGGATGAATGTGAGGCCTGGCGAAAGAAAACCGCCCCTGCGGAGCCCCCATCGCAGTTTCCCTGGGGCGTCAACACCAGTGTCCACTGACCTTCCACGTGTGCAGGGTTCAGCATCCTTGGGGCCTCAACTCCTTATCCATCCTGGGCCGCTCCTCTGCATACGAGCAGTAAGCTCTCTCCCCGGGGTCCTGGCCCCCTACCTTCACGCCCCGCAAACCTCGTCTCCTTATCTCCCCTCGGCGCCGGGGCTCCCCTTGGTGGGGGTCTGTTAGCCTAGCCATCCGTGGTCCCAAGGTTTGGCCTCTGGGAGCCCCTAACCTCACTTGGCCTTTGGTATTCGTGGCGTCAGAAAGACTGATCCCTCGGCGCCAGCGGTCCTCGTGGCCTGCTAGGCCTGGCCGCCATACATTCGCTCGCCAAAAGCTCCCAAACCCCCGACCAGCATAACCCCTTTGGGCGTTCCAACGCGGCGCCCCCTATTGGACCTCCCACCCATATCCGGTTTCCGGTCCGACGCCCCCTGCTTATTCGCTAGGCAACCTTGATTGGCGTGACCCCAGCCCAATGGCTGACCTGGCGATGGGGTCGGAAAGGAGTGAGTCGTGTGTGTGTACCCAGTCAGCCCACTCTGTGGATGCTCGAATTGTTAAGCCACTGCGTGTGGGGGTAGTTGGCCAAACTTTGAACCAAAGTTCAGTGTTGTAATCAGAAAGTGTGTAAAACCGTAGAGCGGAGGAGACGAGTCTTTGAGAGGCCCCATACGTTGCCGAGGGACTGACTTCATCAGCTTTTTCTCTGTGCTGCGCGGCCACGTGGATGGTGGATGGGTAGATGGTGGGGGTCGATACTGCACCGTGGCTGTGGTACCTTGTCGGGTTCAAAAAAGGATGCGTTAGACTTAACAAAATCGGCCTGCGTCGTGCCCGCCGCGGAGGATCGCTGGATCGCCGGATTGTATACAGCAATCCATGCGGTGCGCCCTTCTTGCCGCAGCCCACCCCGAACAACCTAAGTGCATCGGCCACCCCTCCCCCCGGTTGCACAGGCCAAGCGACTGCCTGTCCCCCGCCCAGGGACTGGCTCACGAGTCCCCGTCACCTGCTGGCGAGACAGATCGCAGTGCGTGCGTGCCGGGTTTTAAGTGAACTGCAAGCACGCAATTTTTTTTCCTCCCAGTCTCAAATCCCCCCGCAGACCCCAAACTCAGAGCCGTGCACACTCTACACTAAGCCCACTAGGCCCTCCGAGCTACGTACCGCCTATTTACCACCTACGGTCTCTGAACCCACCGCGGCACCGCAAGGGGAGCGCGGCCGGCCGGGCTAGCGCGGGGTTTGTAGCCACCATTCGTGCCGCGGCAGACGGTAGCAGTGGAAAAGTAAAGCGGCTGCCTTAAAATACTCCTACCCAAAGGGAAGGGGCTTGTGGGGGGCTTGAGAGGGGCCAGCTCAGACCCTGCAGCGGGCAGCTGATGCTGGAAGCCGCGCACCTTGGCCACCGCTGCCGACGCGGCACGGTTTCTCTTTGGGTTAAGTGCGCAATGTCTTTAAGACCACTCTAAATTCACCATGAACATCAACCAAAATATCCTTTAACCCTTTCCCCAAAATTCAGAAATCTGAGGTCTGAGCCCCATGGGGTCCCCCTGTACGCCCCACGCCCCCTCCCCATTGACGCGGCTGCGGCTACCGCCTGGGGGCTTTACTTGGTTCTCCGTAGCGTGCGCCTAAGACCCTTTTATTCTTCTGCGTCACCATCCAAATAAACGAAGGAGAACGCTGCCCGTACCGTCCTACGCCACTGCCGAGACCCCCAAAGCATGACGGGGCTGGGGGACATTGAGGGGCTTTATCGGAGCCGATCTCGGCAAACGACAAACAAGAAAAATGTACCGAAACGGCAGAAAGTACCCCAGAGCATTTTAAAAACAATTCGTGTGCGCGCACTTGGCAGACCCTCGCCCCTCGCCCCTCGCCCCCTCTGTACCCCTCCGGTGGGCTCGCGACCACCTGTCGCATTCCAGCGCCCGCGCGCCTGTACCCCTTCCCGGGCATTTCAAGTCTCATTCCCCCGGACTTGGGGCTCACAATCGGGGGCTGTCTGGGTCTGGGGCTTTGGCTAAGGGGCTCAAAGATATTCTTGAGGTGATAAAACCTTCCGCAGTCCCCCCTCCCCCCGAGGAGAGTCAGTTGGGGCGGGAGGATTTCAGCTCCTATACCCCGGCGTCCAGAGGCCCACGTCTTGCGTCACGTGTCCCACAACGCAGGAGAGCTTTCTGTCTAGCCAGGGGGGAAGCGAGGAGAAGCGCTCAGAATCAGTCAGAGAGAGGAGAGGCGGGAGCAGAACCATCCCTGCGAGGCCTGCGCTCATCAGCCCCCTTACCCAAAGTCCGGTGCTGCCGGCGCCCCGGAGCTGGCTCCCGGAGCCGGAGCCGGCTCTGCACTGGAACCTGCGTCCTCTGGTGGCAGAGAGAAAGCGCTGCTGACGATTTTCGGGCCGAATCGGCACGCTCCTCAGAGCCAAACAGGCGGAGCTGACCTGGAACTGAGACAAAAAGAGGAGAAGAAACAAGGGGTGAGTGCCCAGAGGGCATCCTGAGGGCATAAAGCGTCACTAGAAAGAGCCAAGACGTCCCTAGCCAGAACTGAGTTGTTTCTGCCACAGTTTGGGGTCCTAGGCACCGAGCCCTCTTCAACCTCACACGGATTAGAAAGTGAGGCTGGAGAATTTCCCAGCTGGTACTTTGATATTTTTTTTAAATAATTTTTTTCACCCTAGTTTGGTTGGGTGCTCCGTCTTACGGGGCCCCAGTTTATTTTAAGAGGCCGCCACCGTGTTATGGGCATGCGCAACTGCCTCCACGGCAATAATATGCCAGGACAACGCGATATCCCCCCTGAAATCGGGGAACAGCCCGAACAACAACCTTTGGAGGCCCCAGGGGCAGCTACCCCCAGTGCTGGGCCTGGCGCAGCCGAAGAGATGGAGGCCCAACCGTCTCACAATGAGCCCGTCTCCTTCGAGGTTGAGGGCGAGGTCGGTGGACGCCCAGAGGTCTCCCCGCCCAACGTCCAGGGCCTCCGCCTGGGAACTGAGGAAGATGGAGCCTGTGGAAACTACAGCCCACCCCCTGAAGAAGCCATGCCTTTCGAGGTCGAGCAGCCCAGCGTGGGAATTTTCTGGGCTTCGCAGGAGCAGCCTGGATCCTCCAGTGGGGCCCCTGCGGCCCTTGAGACCTCCCGCGCAGGGCTCGGGGAGCCCGGATCGTTCGATGGTGAGAGGCCGGGTCAGGGAAGCTACAGCCCTCCACCAGAAGAAGCTATGCCCTTCGAGTTTGACCAGCCTGCGCACGGAGGCTGCAGCCCACCTGTCTTGCAGATCTCAGACCTTGCTTCAGGCGGTCCATGTTCAGGGGTCCCCGAAGCTCCCGAGGAGCCCCGATCCTTCAGCGCTGAAAATGCTGGCTTCGGAGGAAGATACAGCCCTCCCCCTGAGGAGGCTGTGCCATTTGAGCTTGATGGAGGGGCATTTGGGGACGACAGCCCACCCCCCGGGCTCCCCCGAGTTATCCCAGAAATCGATGGTGACGGCCAGTTCGCGGCTGCCGCGGTCCAGAGTACGGTCTGCCTCGCTCCCGCCGCAAACGCGCCTCCTCTGCGGGTCCCAGACGCCATCGGCAGCCCATCCCGCGAGGCTGTCAGACCTCCTAACTTCGCCGGCGACAGCCCCCGGATGGAGATCTCCGGACCCCGGCTCAAGATTGGTAGATCCCCCGTTGGGGTCGACGACGCTCCTGTCAACATGGACAGCCCCCCAATCGCGAAAGATGGCCCGCCCATCGAGGTCTCGGGAGCCCCAGATAAGAGGGAGCGAGCAGAGAGACCCCCAGTCGAGGGAGCCGCAGCCGAGATGGAAGGAGGCTCAGCGACCGCCGGTGCGGAGCAAGGAAATGTCCCCTCTCCGGGGGACGGATCCCCTGCCACCGGGGCAGCCCCTGCTGCGCCAACAGATCCTGGCTCCGGGGCAGCCCCTGCCGCGCCAACAGATCCTGGCTCCGGGGCAGCCCCTGCGGCGCCAACAGATCCTGGCTCCGGGGCAGCCCCTGCCGCGCCAACAGATCCTGGCTCCGGGGCAGCCCCTGCCGCGCCAACAGATCCTGGCTCCGGGGCAGCCCCTGCCGCGCCAAGCGATCCCGACGCCCCAGCGGATCCTGGCTCCGAGGGAGCCACTGTCGCCCCAGCCGATCCAGCCGTCACCAGGGCAGCCCCGGCGGCCCCAGTCGATCCCGACACCCGGGCAGTCTCTGCTGCGCCAAAGGTTCCTGACGCCGCCGGGACAGCCCGAGCCGACCCAGACTCCGGAGGAGTCCCTGCCGCCCGAGCCGATCCTGACTCCCGGAGAGCCCCAGTCGCTCCAGCCGATCCAGCCGCTGCCCGGGCAGTCCCTGCTGCCCCAGCCAATCCTGGCCCCAGGGCGGCCCGCGCCGCGCCAGCCGATCCTGAGATCCGGCGAGTCCCGTTCGAACCAACAATACGGGCAACCTTCACCGGCCGAGCCAATCCTGTTGTCCGATCCTTCTCTACGGCTCCCATCGCCCGGGCACCCCCTGCGGCCCGGGCAGCCCCTATCCCCCGAGCAGCACCCATCGCCCGGGCAGCCTCGGTCGCCGCGGTCTCCGGGGCCAGCCGCAGTCTCCATTTCCTCAGGCCCCCCAGCCCCGAGATTCAGGTTGCTGACCCGCCTACTCCGCGGCCTACTCGGGCGCCCGCCTGGCGGGGCAAATTGGAACGCGGCCGCAGCCACCTCCGCTACGAAGCACCGGGGCAGATCGACGACTCCTCCAGCGATGAGTCCGAGGACGGGGCCACCGGATGCTTCCAGTGGCTTCAGCGCCGAGATCGCCGCCGCAGAAAGCCGCAGCGCAACTTATTCCGCAACTTCATCTCCCAAACCTTCGGGGGCTGCTTCGGCGGATGTGGGGGTCCCCAGCCCAGAGGCGCGAGCTCCTCCAAGGTCAAGAAGGACTATGTGGTTGACCAGCGCAGACAGATGCGCAAAGAAGCCATTGAGATGCGCACCCAGACGCGCGCAGCGAAGACACGCAGCAAGCTCATCGACAAGCAACTCGAGGAGGAGAAGATGGGCTACGTGTGCACGCACCGCCTGCTGCTTCTAGGTAATGCGGCGGACTCTGCCCTCGGGCAGCAGGGCCGCCCGGGCACCCGGGGAGGGGGCGGCGGGTCTGCCCGGTGGGGCTCGGGGCTCCGTAGTGGGCGGAGGGGTCCGGTCAAAGGCGGGAAGAACCTGCTAGAAGTTCCAGGGAGGGACCCTAACTTTGCCCTGGGAGCGGGAGGGGTTTCTGTGGGTTCGGGTGGCCGAAGTATGTGCCCTCTAGGGAGAAAAGTGAAGCCGAGCGACACTGAGGGTCGTTTCCGGCTGGCCAGGCCAGCGCCAGCGCCAGCGCCAGCGCCAGCGCCCGTAAGCTGGACAGGCGACAGGCGGGGGCTTCAGGTGAGCCAGGAACTGCCGGGGAGGGCCCCTGGGGCTCCCCTGGCTAAGATGTTTGGGGCCGTGGTGGGCTGGGGTCGTTGGGGAAGGCGCGTCCCCGCCTCGCCTGGCACGGCTGCTTGGTGTCAGACAGCTTACTGTTGGTGTGTGTTGGTGTCCATATTCTGTGTCCGCCTGTGCATGACATGCTCAAGTGTCCCCCAGTGACCCATCCCTGGCACCCCCAAACTACCCGCCGACTGTGTACTTGTACTTGTACTTGGGAACGGGCTGTCTTGTGATTTGCGCCATGGCGCGGGCCGAAACTTTCCGTGTGCGCTCTCTCCGGCGGTACCTGTGCGCTGCCGCTGTGCAGCGAGCAGCGCAAAAGCGCAGGGCCGCTGGCGGGGCATCCTGGGAAATGTGCTGGGCCGCTGGCCGGGGTGGAGGGGCCGCTGCCCGGGGCCTCCATAACCTTTTTCCTGTATGTCTTTCTCTTTTTTTCCCCTTTGCGCTAAGCGTATCCTCACTTCTCATTCGTTCGCCAAACCCTCCCGCCTTTACGGTTGAAAAACCGGACACACGGGTATCTGGAGCTCCGGGGCTGCACACAGAATTTCGGTATTGTGCACACACTCGGCTCACGTGGTGGGAGGGCGGAGGGGGGCGGGGGGGACACCCACCCGCGGTCGGCGAGTCCGGTTCCGAGGGGGTGGGCCTGGCTGTGTTTCCAAAATATGAAATGTGTTTTTTTTTTCACTAGCGAAGAGCCCGAGGTAAGCCAATCATTTATACTTTTACGAAGAGTGCCTTAGTAGGAGGGGCTTGGTTTAAAAAACATGGGAGTTGTATATTGGGAGTGGAACGTCCTTGAGTTTGAAATGCAGTTAAAATTTTTAAAAAACATTAAAATGCTCCGAGTATATTTTAAGTATGTAGACAAAGTATGGAAAACCATAAAGATGACGTTTGAAATATGTAAATGATTGTATGTGAATTTTTTAAAGCAGCTTTAGCTGGGGGCAGAGAGGCTCAAAGGTAAGCTCAATTGGCTTTTGATACAAAAAAAATTTTTTAAAGCCCTGTGATTAAAGTTAAAGTAATGCTATGTGATCAGAAGGGTGCCTTTGGAGGCCCTTACCTGTCCCTCTTTACCTTTTCCCAGGACTCATGCCCAGCCCCTCTCCACCTCCTCACCCCCCTGACTTCTTATCTCCAATCGGGCATTAATTCACGTGCCATAGTTAATCGAAGCAGCTATTAAAAATGATCTGAATCTGTGGCTTTCATGAAAATTTCAGAAGTGAAGCTCCAGAACCTTAAAACCTTTCAAGGGATTTCAAGATCACAGTTTCTAAGACTGTGCTACATTCGTTTGTTAAGTATTTTCCAAGGCTTTGCTATATTTGTTTGTGAAGTATTTTATATTGTGTGGTGGCTTTTATTAATTACATTAGTGGCATAAGTATGGTGTTGTGATATAAGTCCTACAAATCATAGTTTCAAGGTGATGGTCATTTTACTAATGCTTACCTGAGGAAATAATGACATTATCATTTCCTCTAAAACATACAAAAGAAGATAGCTTTAAATTTCAAACGTCTCAGCTACATCTAAGCTACAGAACTTTAGATGACAACGTACTAGTTTCCCTGCAGACAACTGATTTTGCCATGATAGAGGCATTTCATTATCCTAAGCTTAGCTGGAGGGGAGTGCAAAGCTGTGAACTGGGGGTCAAGAGGGATACAGCGGACTTCAGATCAAGGGGTGGTGCACACCTAATCTATCACTGGCAAGTTGACAGTGTCCCTTCTGTGCCAGGACCTCATGAAATAAAGCTTTCCTAGCAAATCTCCCTGACTTCAGTCTTCTATCCCCCTCCCCAGCCCTGGGGCTGGGGAGGGGAGAAAGAGAGTTGAGGTTATACAACCATCAATCCTGCAGCAAAATGTCCATGTCTGGGGCTAGGTCTTAGGCATATTAAAGTTTCCCTTGTCTCCTCAATTTGTCAGGGGGTGGGTAGAATTAATCATAAGAGAAATAAATTTGTCAGGGTATTTTGCCATTGTTCAGTCTTTGTTCCTCAGGTACTGGTCATCAAGAAAGTCTGGATGCAACACCAGCAAACAGGCTGGCGAGCCTTGGGCCAGTACCTGGCACGAGCCTGAACTAAGATGCCAGTGTTACCTGCTTGCTGCCACTGTAGCACTGCAGTTTGTGAAACCAGGCTGCAGTGTCCCAGTAGGCTGGCCTCATTTTACTGAAGTGACAGGACAGGTATCACACCTGGGTCTGAGTTACTGGCAAAAAAGGGGGAGAGGAAGATTTACCCACACAGAGGGTAAAACTTTTTACTAAATTAAAAGTGCCAATATATGCAAGAGGACATTCATACATTCCTACCACTGAAAATGCAAATCAAATGGCCATCCTTTGATATGATTTCTAATTGGTGACATGCTGGCCCACTTGTTGCTTTGAAAATGTGTGCTTACGTGTGCATAGTCTCAAGTTTTTATTGCCCAAACACCTTAGCCAAGTTACATGGAGCTTTAGACAGAAAGAAGGAAAATAAAAATTCTAGGCTATCTAAAGAGTTAAAAGCCTTTTGCTTGCTTGATACTATCCAATGCTGAATTTCCCTTCCCATGGTTCTTTGCTCCTTTGAATAATTTTGGTGGCTTCGACTGTTTTTAAACTTTAATTAGGTGTGATTCCCTTGTTTCAGAATCAAAAGGGTCTACTAGATCAGAACCTCCTAGTATCTGCTGCATTTATTAAAATTTGCAGGCAAATGCTATATGTAATAATGGACATTTTATTACAACACTGTACTGATACAGTGAATCACAGTCAAGTGCATGGTAATTTATTTATGCTGCCAAGTACAGCAGTGAGGCATCACAGCCCATCTTGCAGAAGCACTTTTTTCTTTTTCTTTTTCTCCTCTTTCTTCTTTTTCATAACACAGCTCCTTTTCCTTATTCAGAACTCCTCTGCTGAGCTGTCTGGTAGAGGAGAGAGGACCTGTCTTACCAGGCCACAAAATTTTAGAAGTAAGAGAGACTTTCATTATTTTCTCTTTTGTGTCTCCTAGGAGGGTCCATATTTCCCAGAGGCCAAACTTCTGCCCTGCCTTTTAACAGCAACATTTTTTCAAAAACTTTTTTTCCCACATGGCAAAATTAATTTTGAAAATTTGCCCACATTCCCCATGATGAAAAAACTGGTCTTGGATGAAGAGACAGGGTCATCTCCTTTCTGAATATTTCCTCCTAATTTGAAAGGGAAAGTCTCCTTACTCTCAATATTGTTAGTGATCAGTAATGGTAATGACAACACATTCTGATTGCCTTTTATATTTTCAAAAGCCTTCTATCTGGTCACATTTGTCCTTTGGTACAGTTCTGGGCAATAAAAACATGATAGGACCCCATTTTGTTGGCAAATAAACCAAATGCTCAGAAATTAAATGTCAGGGACTTTTGCTCAAAGACTGTAAGGTAAGTGAAGGAGCTAAAGTTTCTACTTCAGATAAGACAATGCTTACCAAAAACATGACAAGCTATTCTTAAATGTAAAGTATGATTATTGTAAATCTGTGTCTCTTAAAATCCCTTGTCACATGACAGGTGTCTCTCAGTCTGCTGCCTTTTGAATGATAGCCAGACCCGGACAGATCCTGGTTATAAATGTCCATGGAGTGTACCTGAAATGTGAGCTCCCCATTTCTGAAATACCTCTCATTGTTATGGTGATAATTTAATTTCCACATTTGCTTTGACCCACTGCAGCCTGCATTTGTTTATTTGGCTTTTTTTTTCTCTTTCTATTTTTTTACATGCAGATTTTATTTAAAGTCTTTTTTTTTGTTATCTCCCCTAGTTTTCTTTAACAGGGTCTAAAGCTTTTCCCCTTACTCAGGTTAATAATTAATAATAATGTAGTTGCTTTTACAATAGCACCCCTGCATGTTCATTCTTAGGTACTTAGAACTCAGTCTGTACCTAATGATTCTATTAAAATGACTACTCAAAAATTCTCCCTAGGTTTTTTGTTGTTTTGTTTTCATTTTAGTTTAGGGATGATTCCCAATTAGTGAGAGTCAATTTGTGATATTGGAAATCACCTTTTGTTTTTTTGGGTTTTTTTGTTGTTGTTTGGTTGGTTTGCGGGGGGGATTGAGACAGGACCTCACTTGCAGTCCAGGCTCAACTCAAACTCATGCTGACCCTCCTGCTTCAGTCTCCCAGGTGCTGAGGTCACAAGTGTGCACTACCACACCCAGCAGAAATCACCTTTGACCTTTTTTGGGGGGGGTGGTTTTTGATTTTTTTTTTTTTTTTTTTTTTTGGTTTTTTGGTTTTTTGTGACAGAACCTTGCTATGTGTTTCAGCCTGAGCTTGAACTCACTATGTAGTCCAGGCAGGCCTCGAACTCATGGCAATCTTCCTGCCTCAGTCTCCCAAGTGCTGAGATCACAGGTGTGCACTACCACATCCAGCAGAAATCACCTTTGACTTTTTTCTTCTCTTCTTCTCTTCTTTTTTTCTTCTTCTTTTTCCTTTTTGGTTTTTTTTTTTTTTTTTTTTTTTTTTTTTTTTTGAGACAGGACACAGAACATTGCTGTGTAGTTCAGCCTGGGCTTGAACTCACTATATATCCCAGGCTGGCTTCGAACTCATG